AAATTTCATTTGGCGTCGCTGGCCTCTGTGAAAACCTTCCGCGGGAAGCATTAACCACGTTTCGTCTCTGCCTGAATGTGAAACCGAATTTAATCTTCCAACCACTGAGGTTTCACCAATGCACTGGAATATTTAAGTGGAATCTTATAAATTCCAAGAAAGATTTTATACATAATTGTAGTAAGTTAACCAATTTAAAAAAAAATATTTTCTTCAAAAAAATATGTCAAATACAAAATTAACAGAAGAAATTAAAAAATGAATGGAAATGTTCAAATGAGAAGTATGTACTCTATTCAATACTTACGCCATGCTTGTTGTATAAAAATGTCTTGTCAGAAATCTGATTGAATTCAATAGCATACAGAATTTCACATTACTCAAATTAAGTTGTCCAAAAGTACTTTCCGTAATATGCATGCTTTGATGTTACTAGTCAACATGATTATCTATAAATATCATAATCATCCTTTTCTTACGGTTTCTTCATTTCCCAAGCTTTCTTTTATTTATTGTGTTAATTGAATTGTGCTATTTGTTTGCGTAAGAAATATTGCGATCGAAAATGCAACAAAAACCTTTACGACAATCTAATATCATCGAATAATAGAATGAAACCGCTACGAACGTACGCAATTGTATTTGTATTAAATTGAATAATCGAACGATGTGAGAGAAATGGAAGTCGATATATTGAATTATCAAATGAAGAATAAGAACCGAATGGCGATAGAGAGATTGTTATTTATATGTGTAAGAAATATCGTGCGTGAGATTTTGTGTTGTTTTAATTTTCTATTGAGTGTTATTAATTAAATATAATCAGCAACAGAAGTTACAATAAAATATTAATTAGATATTATTATTAACAAAAGTTACAATTGAATACTAATTAAATATTAATATCAATAGACAGCACAATAGAATATTAATTAAATACTATTATCAACAACAGTTGGGATGGAATAAACAAAAATTATTAACTTGTATAATCTGTAGAAAATTTTGTATTAAACATTCACGAAATAGATACAAATTCATTGTTTTACAAAAATTAATGAATGTACCGGAACTGCATAAAGTTTCCCTTGAAATTGATCAGTGAAAGAATATTCTCTACACCCGTTCTACATATCTCGGTAATTTGCGTTCAAATGTAAATATAAGTAATCTAATACCGAGTTCCTCGTGAGTTGAAACATTTCCTAGTATAGTTTTTGTTTATCAGAATGCAACCATTTCGCAAAAGTTTTTAATTAAATTGCCTGCTGAATAGAAAGTAAAGGCTAGCTTCCTGCGCACACCGATCATTTCACTCGACAATAACGATTTTTCATTGAAGCGAGCAGAAATTGTAGTGTTCTGGGACTCGAATTACGTTCGATACTCTTTCGTGTTTCACCGTAAACTGCTCTCGAAAGATAATGTCACAAGAACACATCTAAATTTTCATGAGAGGAAGACGCTTCGTCACTGCACTCTCAATTAATCACTTTTTACCGTTTGCACGCGAAGCTATGCATACGAAAGTGAGTCTGTTGGCAACGTTCAATATTTTCATTTCTGATAGGTTCTTTTTTTATATATAAACAAATTTGATACTGTCAAAATTATTTTGAAACGTGTTGTAGCAAATTTTTAGTGGTGCCATTAGAGTGCAAAAGATTAATTTAATTTGAGGAGCAAATGTGGTTTTAAGAAATTTGCAGTTCATGTTAGAAACAAATACATATTTTTTATTTTTCAAAGATTTAATAGGTCAGAAATCCTAAATTGTTTCCTATATCCAAAGAAACTTTTACACTTTTATATGGTAACCTAAAAGAAGCTAACTCGAAGTATTGTACTAGAATATTCTCATAGACTGGACTGATAATGCTTGATAATGCTTGATGATGCTTGATGATGAACGACTTTACAAGAATCTTCATAAAATTTTATTTTAATAGAGCTATGTAAAAAACTTATAAAAAAGAATAAAGTTGATCCAAATTTTTGATATAAAAAGAGACGTTTTTAATGGCACGCCGCAATTAGTAGCCGATAAAAGTAAACGAATTAATTCTTAAATTAATTATAACCAATCAAAATGACTGGTTTCTGATTTTTTCGTTCACATACACACACACAGTTTCTCAAAATTATAAAAACATTTCTTTGTGAAATTTTTTCGATTAACTTGTTTATCGAAGCATATATTATAATAATAATTGTACAAAATTTGAGTAAATCCAATCTTGCCATTGTCATAAAAAAAAATACATGTTTTGTATTCAATGTGCTGTACTCAATGACAATCTTTACTGTAACAAAAACGTCGGAAAAAATTATTTTATACTACCGCGAATCATCATGTTCATAAAATTAATAATTGTTAGTATTCTAACATTCTATATTTTTACCACTTTGTCGTTCCGTGGTTACACCAAAGTTTCGACTATGATACACATTCTCTTCATTTTGCACACATTTGATCAAATTGCACGTTTACCAATAACTTCATAACAAGCCCTGTAGAATATATATTATATATTATATCCTGGCCTGTGTGTGTGGGTGTGTGTGTATGTGCATTTATCATGATAGTATCCAGAATGTCAAGATATATGATTCGCTGCATGGCGTCCTTAGTAACTGTAAGTTTTGGATGTTACCAAATAAATGTGCAGAGAAGTTTTCAGGAAATCTTACGTGTGCAACTCGAGACTATTATAGATGATGTGTTCGCTTCACAACCTTGAAATTTCCTGTAGATTTATTACTACAAGCGAACCTTATTACTTTCCTGATACTGGAGGAGGACAAATATTTAGAGTCACTTGATGTTAAATATCGCTACAAGAAATTCCAGCTTAAGGAGCGATTGATGCAATTTTTCTTACAAAATGAGTAATTTTAAATACTCATCTTGCTATATTGAAAGTAGAGATGTATTTAAAGGGTACCATTAATTTTATCCTAAACAATTTTTTCGAAATTTTAGTAACTAAACATATCTGCGCTGTATAAAGCTTAACAAAATATACATATTTAATTATTGTAAGATAGAACAAAATATATTTAATCGCTGTGAAGTTTATCAAAATATGTTTAATTGCTGTACTGTTTAACAAAATATATTTAATAACTGTAATGTTTAACAAAATATATTTAATAACTGTAAGGTTTAACGAAACATATTCATCGACAATCGGTGTACAATCTTTTTTGACATTAAAACACGTCTAATAGAATTAGAAGATAGAAATTAGAACATGTCTATTACAGTTAACAGTAGATTAAATATTACAACTATTACTTATGAAATCAAGTCATCGATTTTGATGATGTTTTTCATAGGACTACGTGTTGAGGAGTATTTGACATTTTTGATCATTTCTAATACTTTTATCCGTCACATGTACATACGAAAATTCTAGAGAATCATATAATTTTTACAAGTATTAATTTTTATGCAGTACGTAGATTTATGCACTTTTATGTACCTTTATGCAGTACCAATATAAATGGTTAAATTCTTTATCGGTATAAAATGAAATAAACTTCGCACTTCTATACTAACATTTTCGTGGGTGTTACATCATTCAAAGCATATATACGTTCATATATTTGTGAAAAGGTAACAGTTTTCGAACTATTGAACAAAACGCAATTTCCATCCCAGTTTCAGGCGCTTTTTGCATTTATTCACCACGTCCGACTGTATCGATAAAAAGAAGCTACCAGTGAAATATTATTTATGCATCATGAGCGTACAAAATTTGATCGATGCCGTTGATTGTCGCTTCGGAATGATCTCCCGTCAGACCATCTGTCACAATGCATTTCGTCAGAAACGCGAACACGTCGAAATGATTAGTGGTTACTATAATACACGAAATGAAACGTCGTGGATGCATCTTTGTTGTCACTACACTTCTGAGTAGAAATTAATAATATAATATGTTCACATTTCAGTGTACTTGTTGTATCACTAAACTACTTAATACCTCGCGAAGTCTTGTAATTAATAAAGCAAATACACTCTGATATTTAGAAAGTAATACGTGATACTGGAAATGCATATACAGAGTCACATTCCAATTATCGTTGCCGAATTATATTTTATTAATCTTATTTTTTTTATCAAAGATATGCTTATTTTTGTAATAATCTTGATTGTATTAATTATTAAACATTTTTCAAACTTTTTACAAGTTACACATAATACTTAAAATAATACTACTATCTACCTAAAATGATAATATCAAATTGGTAACGAACTAAATGTAATTTATGAACTTTTGCTCCACTGAAATTTTACCCAGTGAAGATATGAATTTAATTAAACATCGACAGGATGAATTTGTCAGTCACGTAGGAGGTATGTATGATCTGCCAACGTTAAATATATAGTTCGGACTGTAAAAACGAAATCACAGGAATATTTCCAGTAGGTACAATGAAATTTCAGTACATAGAACGAACGATAAGAAGAGGGAAAATGAACAGTAATCGAAAATAATTCGATAAATTCTTTCGTTCAAATTTACATTTTAACAAAAATGGCGAGAAGTTTAAAAGAATCCAGTTTTATTATTACACTGCAGATTTTATGCATTTATGGGAAAATTGGGTAATTTCAATCTAAAATAGCGTAAAAATTCAAATCAACTTAAAACATCGATGTATTATTTTTTATCTATGAAGATAATTAAAGGAAGAATGAACTTGGTTTCTATTCCTTGCAATTAATGCAGAAAATTCTAATTTTGCATAAAAATCCGCAGCCTTGAAAAATCCATCATTATTCTTGCGAAGTATTACACGTCAGTAATTTTTAGTGCTCGATTGGTTTAATGTTAAAGAACAGTTTCCAATGAAATTATACATTATTTGGTACATTCAGTTAAAGAATAAATAATTGCATTCGATATTTACAACAATCTAAATGCTGCTTATAAGTGTACCACATCAATAACAAAGAAACCTTTACACTGATTTATTCTCTAATTTTGCAGATTCTGCGAGGAAATCCGTGGGGACAGCCCCGAAGCTAGAAACATCGTAAAAGCAGTGAAACGTTTATCACCATCACCATAACACAGATTACCATAAAAAGTTCGACTCGAACGATCTAACTGCACAGTTACGTCCCATCCAATTATTCGCGATGAAACAAACATTTGCCTACACCTGTTGATATTTTTAAGAAGAAAAGATCAGCGAGACTGATCGCGTACAATCATGGCATGAAATACGATAACGAACAGCAGCAGGATGACGTTTTTCGATTACAATATGTCTGGTAACGCAGTACCATCCATCGACTACCTCGGTAATATGGAAGCCGATCAATCATTCGCTAACAGCGTATCACAACTGTCAACAATGAGTTCCGTGATCGTAAACGTTACACTACCAGCCAATGCGAAACCTAATCACGACGGCCTTTTGGAAACTTTAATTATTCCATTATACGGAACGATTTTTCTACTTTCGGTGGTCGGAAATTCATTGGTTCTGATCACATTGGCCCGCAACAAGAGGATGAGGACTGTCACCAATGTGTACTTGTTGAATTTGGTGAGTAAATTATGATGTTCACACGCTCATCTAAGCTTTTCTCACATTTGTTGATCCATTATATCACGTAAACGCGTGATTTCCGAACAATATTACCTTACATTTACGAAGCATCGTGCTAAAACTGTGCCTATATGTTGATGATGTAGCCGATCAAACTGTTGACACCTGCTGCAATCACGATCCAAACATACTAACGTCATCCGTGATCAACCTAAACGAGACAATAAGACGCTGCTTTCACTGACAGAGTTTTCCATTTTTCCAACTGAGACGATTTCACATCGAACGGACCTTCAACCTCGAACCTTCTACCTAGAACGCATGACGAATTTGACACAACCAAAATCGATACAACAAGAAAACATCGCGACCAAACGCGAATCTGTAAACCGTTTGTTCCATTTTTTATATGTTCTATCAAACGTTACACCAAACAATCTAATTTCATATCAAGTAGGCGCAATTATCCAGTTAGCTGTTGCAACTTCTTACGCGAATAAATACAAATTTTTATCCAAAATCATGTATAAAGAGCTAGAAAGTATGACCAATTTTTGCGAATGACGTGAAACAGATATTGTCGTTTTCCCTTACAGCAACAATGTACATATTCAGTTATGCATACAGTGTTTGATCTTCAACATTTTGGTTTATCAGTAACGCCACCATTTTCTTCAAATTTTTTTATTAATCTTCAAATTAGAGGACAGATTTGGCCAATTGAGTATTCTTCGTAGAACCCCCATTTGCGTAGTAAGTTTCATTAACATAAATGTGTTGTTGCAATCTATCTGTTCATGGTTAAAATTGTACTAGAATATTTGTTCTCTCTAAAACAAAATTGTTTATGTTCATCCGTTTATGTCTATCATATAAAACATCATATTTGAATATTCACATTTATTCTGAGGTAGAAGTAGAATTACACATTCGGCAAAAGACGTTTAATATGATGTTTAGTTGCACAAATTAAACTCTATTGTAGAATTGAAATACAGTCTACGAAATGGTAGTACAGTTCGAACTTTCATTCAGATTTCTCTCAGGGCCCTCTTGAATTTAAAGTTGAACTAGTTTTTAACTTAAAAGAATATTATTTATTAATTTAAAAAGTTGCGGAGTCTATAAGGAAATGTTGGAAAATTATTTGCAACTTGTCGAAAGATATGGATAGTTATAGTACAAAAGGAACAATTAAGGGCTACCCGCAGTTTCTACTTGAGAAAAATGCGCCATTCTTGCGAAACTTGCTTCATATCGACAAAGGGCTCGCAAAGTTGTAGCGGAAACCAATTCTCGAAGCGTTCCTCGTATATTCCAGACATGTGAGAATATTATAAAACTGAAACTGAAACGGAAACGGAAACTTACATTGACCGGGAGATATAGGGAGTATATCGCAAGCTTTACGGGATATGCACAGTGCAAGAATAAGTGGTTAAGACTTATTTTCTTGGAAGGTATTTTAATACCTTTAGTGGATGAGATAAATTAAATTATACAAATTCAGGATAGTGAAATACGTAAAGAACATTTATTTAGTTTACGATGAATCTTACGTTTATCAACATTTTTAAAGTGCAACCAATATGCGGAAACTATTATCGTTTACGAAAGTATTAAAGTGGACAAAGTGAACCAAAGTGTACAAATTCAATTTGTCGAATTACATAAAGAACATTTGTTTAGTTTGCAATTAACTTTATGTTTATGAACATTTAAAAAATGCAAGCAATATGCTTAAACTGGCAATAATTAACATAAGTCTCCTTATTCATATGCTTCATATTTTGATATCAACAACTTTTAATGGTGCTTTACAATCACCACTCGAGTGCAAATGATTAATAATTAAATTATTTCAAGCGATATTATAACACAAATAAAAAGGTAGTATATTTTTTACACTATTTTATAGTATCTAAGGAAAGAAAACACTCGACCAACAAGGCTCGGGTCTACTTGGATCCAGATTCTACAGAATGAGTTATTTAAATCGTTCACCTTAATTTTTCTTGTAAACTACATATTGCATATAAAAATATTACGAACGAAAGTTGTTTGGTATAAAGAGGAGCATACACTGCAACAATTAATTTTTTGCTATTTCCCTGTTTTATGAAAATGTGAGGAACACCTTGAATTTTGTTAACTGTAATGTGCAACATTTAATCATGTCACTCGAAAGTCTATTAAATAAAGACTATAAAGTTATGAAGGTGCAAGATTAATGTTTATCGAAATATTCTTCAGTCGATTCTTAGTGCAAGAAATGTTCAAAACATTATCCACTACAATCACTGCAAGCATGTAGGCGATTAAAGAATGAGAGTGATACTTGTAGAAGTGTTTCATATTTTGTCAAGTGACCTTCATATTTTGATTGAAAAAGAAAATAGCAAAAAATATCAAACAACTTTACTTAACATTTGTTTATTCATGTAGTTTACAAGAAAAATTATGGTGACCGAGTTAAATGATTCATTCTCGACATTAAAATATTATCTAAATAGCATGTAATATAATTAAAACAATATAGCTAGTTTTATTTTTATTCGTGTAATTTCCATTCATACTTTCTAAACACATTCGATACATTTATGTTTATTTAAACTTCTAATAATAACATACGTGAGGACCGCAATATTGAATCTTAAATGTTTGCCTAAAAGGTGTTAAAAATTGATTTACCGCACGAAGGCACGATCCCAAGAAACATTCAGGACAAATGGATCCAGTGTAAATCTGGCGACACTCTCTCGAGGAAAGTACTGTCGATTTAGAACGTGGACTTCGTAATACTGGCGGTTTCTCAACGAAATTGAGTTTCACAGACTTCGTCGAAGGGGCTGAGTAAATAATTGCAAGATGTAAAGCTTTGATCTACTTTAACCGTGATGAAAAAAGGTAGAAACAGAGCATTATATTGCACTGCGAGGACCGTTGCAAATAAACCAGAACTTGATCGATATTTGACGATGCAGAAGCCAATCCACTTTTCATTGACAATGGGTCAACGCCGTGCAAACACATTTTTATCATATCATCTTTCGGTGGATATATCGATATAGTCGATTTCTTCATAGATAAACA